TGTCTCAGCCAATCATCTGGTTGTGCCAGAGTGTGATGTCTTGCTGCCGCTCAGCATCATGCATATAGCTGTCTTTCCAAATGCTCAGAGTGATAAAGTCTTCCATGCTTTAATGAAAACGGGCTGCATTCAGCTGGCATTGAACAAAATCTGCTCCAAAGACAGTGCTTTAGTGCCTTTGTTGTCGGGACGTACAGCAAACATAGATAATCCCTCCAGCATTCTGAAAGCCATACAATATATGGTACAGACATCAACTTTTAAGACTGAAAAGTTAGCAGAAAGTGACTTTGAGGCTCTCCTAATGTACTTCAATTGCAACTTATGTCATTTGACATCTCAGGATGACATTAAAATTTTAAAGTCTCTTCCATGTTACAAATCAATCAGTGGCCGATACATCAGCATTGCAAAATATGGGACATGTTATGTCCTTACGAAAAGCATCCCATCAGTGGAAGTAGACAGATGGACACAGTCAACTTCATCGGCTTTTCTTGAGGAGAAGGTTCATTTGAAGGATTTGTATACTCTGCTTGGCTGTGTCTCTGTGGATGATCTTGAAGTGTACTTGAAACATCTTTTGCCAAAAATTGAAAGTCTGTCTTATGATGCAAAATTAGAACATTTGATCTACTTAAAGAATAGGCTAACTAGCATTGAAGAAACTTCAGAAATGAAAGAACAGCTGTTTGAAAAGCTTGAAAGCATTTTGATCATTCATGATGCAAGCAATAGGTTAAAACCTGCAAAGTACTTTTATGACAGGACTGTAAAAGTCTTTGAAGTTATGCTGCCTGAAAAATTCTTTATACCTCAAGATTTTTTTAAGAAGCTAGAGCAACTTACAAAACCAAAAAATCAAGCAGCATTCCTTCCATCGTGGGTAACTTTTCTGCGACATATTGGATTGAAATTCATCATTTCACAGCAGCAGTTACTGCAGTTTGCTAAAGAAATCAGCATGCGAGCAAATACAGAAAACTGGTCTAAAGAAACACTACAGAATACTGTCGACGTTCTCCTCCATCATATATTTCAAGAAAGAGCTGACCTTTTTTCAGGAAATTTTCTGAAAGAATTGTCTTTAATTCCTTTTCTGTGCCCTGAGCGAGCTCCAGCAGAATTCGTGAGATTTCATCCTCAGTATCAAGAAGTTAATGGAACTCTTCCTCTTATACGATTCAATGGGGCACAGGTGAACCCTAAATTCAAGCAGACTGATGTGTTGCAGTTGCTGTGGACGTCATGTCCTATTCTTCCTGAGAAAGCAACACCTTTAAGCATCAAAGAGCAAGAGGGGAGTAGTCTTGGTGCACAAGAACAGCTTGAGCAAGTTTTAGCCATGCTGAATGTTAATTTGGACCCTCCTCTGGACAAAGTTATCAATAACTGCAGGAACATATGCAATATAACAACTTTGGATGAGGACATGGTGAAAACTAGGGCCAAGGTCCTAAGAAGCATTTATGAATTTCTTAGTACAGAGAAGAGGGAATTCCGCTTTCAGCTTCGAGGAGTTTCTTTTGTAATGGTGGAAGAAGGTTGGAAGCTCCTTAAGCCTGAGGAGGTAGTAATAAACCTTGAGTATGAGTCTGACTTTAAACCTTATCTTTACAAACTTCCTTTAGAACTTGGTACTTTCCATCAGTTATTTAAACATTTGGGCACTGAAGACATTATTTCAACAAAGCAGTATGTTGAAGTTCTAGGTCGCATATATAAGAGCTCGGAAGGAAAGCAATTGGATCCTAATGAAATGCGCACAGTTAAAAGAGTAGTTTCAGGCCTGTTCAAAAGTCTTCAGAATGATTCTGTAAAGGTTAGGAATGACCTTGAGAATATGAGAGATTTTGCCCTTTACCTTCCTAGTCAAGATGGTAGGTTGGTAAAGTCTAGTATCTTAGTTTTTGATGATGCACCCCACTACAAAAGCAGAATCCAAGGTAACATTGGTGTGCAGATGCTTGTTGATCTTAGCCAGTGTTACTTAGGCAAGGACCATGGCTTTCACACTAAATTGATAATGTTGTTCCCTCAGAAGCTGAGGCCTCGCTTACTTAGCAGTATACTTGAAGAACAGTTAGATGAGGAGTCTCCCAAAATTTGTCAGTTTGGAGCATTATGTTCTTTGCAGGGAAGGTTACAGTTACTGTTGTCTTCAGAGCAGTTCATCACAGGTCTCATTAGGATTATGAAGCATGAAAATGACAATGCTTTTCTGGCTAACGAAGAAAAAGCAATAAGACTTTGCAAAGCTTTGCGAGAAGGTTTGAAAGTTTCCTGTTTTGAGAAGTTGCAGACAACATTAAGAGTTAAAGGGTTTGCTCCTATTCCCCACAGCAAAAGTGAAACATTTGCTTTCTTGAAGAGATATGGAAATGCAGTAATCTTGCTTTACATACAGCATTCTGACAGCAAGGACATAAATTTCCTCTTAGCATTAGCCATGACCTTAAAATCTGCAACTGACAACCTGATTTCTGATACCTCATATTTAATTGCCATGCTGGGTTGTAATGATATTTATCGGATCAGTGAGAAGCTTGACAGCTTAGGAGTGAAGTATGACTCTTCTGAGCCATCAAAGCTTGAACTACCAACACCTGGCACTCCAATACCAGCTGAAATTCACTATACACTTCTAATGGATCCAATGAATGTATTTTATCCTGGTGAATATGTTGGTTACCTTGTTGATTCTGAAGGTGGTGATATATATGGATCATATCAGCCTACTTATACCTATGCAATCATTGTGCAAGAAGTAGAAAGAGAAGATGATGAAAGCCCAAGTTTTCTAGGGAAGATTTACCAGATTGATATTGGATATAGTGAATATAAAATAGTCAGCTCCCTTGACTTGTACAAATTTTCCAGACCAGAGGAAAGCTCTCAAGGCAGGGATAGCACACCTTCTACCCCAACCAGTCCTACAGAATTTCCAGCACATGGACCAAGGGCAATTCCACCTATCTTCACTGGTAGAGAGAGCCACAAAACAATGTCCTCAAAACACCACTCTCCAAAAAAGATAAAGTCAAACTCGTTGCCAGAAATATTAAAAGAAGTGACATCTGTGATTGAACAGGCTTGGAAGCTTCCAGAATCTGAAAGAAAAAAGATCATTAGGAGGCTGTATCTTAAATGGCACCCAGATAAAAATGCAGAGAATCTTGATATAGCTAATGAGGTTTTCAAACATTTGCAGAATGAGATTAACAGGATGGAAAAACAGGCCTTTATGGATCAGAATATGGACAGAACCTCAAGGAGACCATTTTCATCTTCTGCTTCTCGATTTCAGTCAGATAAATTTTCATTTCAGAGATTTTACACTTCGTGGAATCAGGAAGCAACAAGCCACAAATCTGAAAGGCAACAGTATAAAGAGAAGTGTCCCTCCTCCACAGGGCCCTCTTACTCCCAGCGCTTTTTCGTCCCACCCACGTTCAGGTCTGTTGGCAATCCTGTGGAGGCACGTCGATGGCTTAGGCAGGCCCGAGCCAACTTTTCAGCCGCACGAAACGACCTCCATAAAAATGCCAATGAATGGGTGTGCTTTAAGTGCTACCTTTCTACTAAACTAGCCTTGATTGCAGCTGACTACGCTGTGAAGGGCAAGTCAGACAAAGACATAAAACCAGCAGCCCTTGCACAAAAAATAGAGGAGTACAGTCAGCAACTTGAAGGACTTTCAAATGACGTTCAGACATTGGAGGCTTATGGAGTAGATAGCTTAAAAACTAGGTATCCTGACTTACTTCCTTTTCCACAGATTCCCAATGATAGGTTTACTTCAGAAGTTGCTATGAGAGTGATGGAATGTACTGCTTGTATCATAATAAAACTTGAAAACTTCATACAACAAAAAGTATAAATTTGAAGAGGTTAGGGGACTGTTTTGTCAAGAATTAGTTGTTTCAAGTGGTGGCATACAAATGCAGTTGTGCAGATTATGGAATGTCCAAGAGGTTGCATGGTCCCAAGCAGTTTAGAAGTGTCGTGCACAAAGGTGGGTTGTATCAAGGTACTTAGAACTGAAATTTGCTTAAATGGGATTTTTTTTTCTTAACTGAGCCTGATGTTAAGCAAACTGTAAAACCTGAATATTTTTTAGAATTTGCAAGGAAATTGAGCTGCAAAAATTAGATGTATGCACAACATTGTGATTAATTGGCATATTATTGACTGCACTTTATATAACCAAAGCTTAGCTTTTTGTTAGATAAAACCTGTAATTATAACTCCTTATTAGATTTATTTCATTTAATGTAATGTTTCTGAAAGGATAATGTCAGTTTTCAATGTACTAATCTTAAGACTGGACATACAATGAAATGGGAAATGGGGTGGAAGTTAAAATAACTTTGGAGATATTGCTCCAAAGCATATCTGTATTCTTTTGCGTTCTGTGGACATTCATGTCACTCATAGTAATACTCTTATCAGCTGGATCTGATTATAAATTTGCTGCAGCATCAAACTGTAAACATTCAAAGGCTAGTTTAGTACATGTGAACTGGTACAATTATTTTAATGCTGAATAATGATACTTGATTTAACATGCCACATGATGTCATGCATTGATTGCATTTACTTTTTTATAAAATAATTAAGTATTTAATTTACTTTTTTTTAGAGCCTGTCATCTTTTGTTTAATGAGAAAGCATATGGATGATATAAAATCTGTGAACATTATTATATGGTGTTTTATGGTTTCTTTTGGAACACCAAAACTCAGTTTTCAGATGCCTAAATGCTCGAGTTCCTTTTTTCCCCCCTGTGTGTGTGCCTTTGTGTGTGTACATATATATATATTTTTCCACAAACATTGGTAATAGTACAATTCAGTAAATCATTTTTGGTGTACACAGAGCACTGTTTTTTGTTATGTGTTTAAAGGTGCTGCAATGTAATGCTGGTTTTGTTATTCACTACAGCCCTTGAGAAATCTGATTATTAGTTCACACTCTTTCTTTTATAGTTTGTAATACCTTGGATCAGCCACATTAAACATAAATGTCAAACATTTTCCAGTGGCATGCTGTTACACTTGTCTACTAGACAGCACAGTGAAACTGCAATTTAACTTACAGAATACAAAGGAAAATAAACAACATCAAGCTTGCTGATACAGCTGATACAGCTGTGATAGTGTTGTAATACAAAAACAAAAAAAAATCACAATGAGGTCTGCCTCAGTTTTGAGTACATTATAAAGGCCTTGTTCTTGAAGAAATGTGACAGTTAGAAAATGATACTGCTTCTGATTGTGGAGCCCTATTATTATTATTTCTGCTATTAAATTAAGTGCCATCAATTTAATAAAGAAAAATGCAAACATATATTTCAGTCCAATGTGTTTTGGTTTTATAACGTAAGTTAACTCTACCTATTATTTGAAGCTTTTATATAGGTAAATACACAATCTTTTTTTGATTAATTCTAAATAATTGTACAAATATTAAAATACTATTGAAAAGGAAACTTGCTCTTTTTTTTTTTTTTTTCAATGACAAATGTTTGCAGTCTTCTCAAACAAATTGTACATTTTGCTGATTTTTTTGCAATAAATAGCATGTAAGTAAAACACAAATCCTGGTGTGTCATGAAATAAATCAGTTTAGTTAATTCCCTATGTTTTTAAAATAGATTCCTTTGTGGTTCTTGCTTTGTGCATTAAGTCAGATGAATAGTATTCAGGGTAAGCAAAATACTTGAAACAGTTCTCATGCTTTTCATTTTAAATGGAGCTAAAACATAAGGTCTCATGGAAGCATGCAAAAGTGTAACAGGAGCATCGTGAACACTTTCCTGTTTTTACGTGAGCTCTTGCAGAAGGAAATCTTCTAAGTGTATGACTGTGTTTTATAAGCAACTTATGTTGCCTTACCAGTATTATTATTATGAACTGTTAAAATGGCTGTGCAGAACCACTAAACTATTGCTATAACTTTACTTTTGTTTAGTTTGTGTATTCTGTTGAGCACTGACACTGAGAAAGAAAATGGTCCCAGTTCTTATGGTAATGGTCTGAAACAATTTTAAACTCTGAGCCAAGTTGAGAAAGAAAACTGGAATGACACAGAAAAAACGAATTAATTCTGTTATTCCTGAATTGAAACTAGCAATAAAATTTACAGATGGCTGCAGAGGGACAGGCAAGAGAGTTGTCTCAGTTCGAAGTCTCTTAGTTTCTTATTTGCTTAACTCACTGTAACAGCTAACATAAATAAAGAGGCTGTGTGAGACCAGGAAACCATATTCTGACAGAACATGACTGGGTAAGTGCCATTTAATTCTTGATTAAAAATAAAAACAAAAAAATGCTTAATTGATTCTTCCTTTTGGCTCAGCTGGGAGACTTGGCAATGTGTCTAAGTCAGGTGTGGAGGCTTAGAACAGTTAGGATGTGATGATTCTGTAGTAAGTAAATGTTTACTTCTGTAGAAGTAAATGTTAGCATGTAGGTTCCACAAAAATACATTTAGTAAGTAATTCTGCACATTAAATGAGTCCTCATTGGAGAAAGTATCTTTTCATTCAGATCTATCTCCTGCCTTCCACAGGTACCAGCAGTTTATCTAGGAAAAGCAGCTTCAGTTCTTGTCACTCAAAATTACAGTTGAGGAGTTTAACAAAAACTCAGTGATACAGGAAGCCGATTCAACTATACATACAGCAGCTTAAATCTAAGGAACTGCAGTTGGAATAAGCCTTGATAGGCTTGTTACTATCTTGTGCTTTAAAAACTTTCCTCTCAAACAATGAGGTGTTACACAGCTATTCTAAAAAGCACAGGACACTTTCCTCAGCAATTCATGCAAGAAAAAATACCTTTTGTTTGTTTGTGGTTTCATTCCGTTTTGTTTTTGTTGTTTTTTGTGAAGGACATAATTTTTGTGTAGCTGACTACCAGCAGAATAAATGGTTTATTGTGTAAAAAATGCAGTTTTACAATATTTGTATTCAAATCATTATCAGTAAAGTTACTGTAATGATTTGTGAAATAGGATTTAAAATTTACTACAAGGATTGCATGCACTTGGTACTGGTATACCTGGGTTGCTTTTAACAAGGCTGTAATTAAATCCATTGTAATTTCTCCAATTAAAGTAGAGGAATGTAGTACCACCTTTGAGATTTTCTGTTGCTGGATCTAAACTCTTTGAGAAGGCTGGATTGGTCCCAGGGAACAAAGGCAGAACTAATAGTTCAAAAATAACTAAACCTGGCAGCCAAAGTAAATGTTTTCATTTGAAGAAGACACATTTTTTGTCACATGAAGGGTTTTGTCAATGAATTTTTAATCAAAACTGTTTGTCTTTTCATTGGTTTGTTTTCTGGATGATTAATTCAGTATCACTGCCATAATTTCTTTGTTTACTTTCACCTACTACTGATTAAGACAAAGGAATTCTAGATGTCCAATGAAACCTAATTGTAAAGCATTTTCTAAATTCTGCTAAGTACATTTTTAGCTGGGACCAAGAATTGTGTTAATATTTTTAAATAAAGTACATTTCACATTCTTAGTCTTGGAAAAACAATTTTGTTTTAAAAATTAAAACATTCATTTAAGCTGTGTTTCATTTGAATACAAAAGCAGAAGCAGATTGTTCAAAATGTATAAAGTTTATTCAAGAACTCGGTTTCCAATTCTTGCAATTTCCTTTTGCATAAAGCTATATAAAGACAGACAACTGCTAATACTAAAGGACTGTGAAATGGAAAAAAAAAGCTCATGTTTGGGCAATCACCAGTGAACTTTTTCTACCATTTTTCCACTGTGTAACAATTGCAACCACTTGCAAGAACAGCTGTAAATAATTCTTTTTGAGGGAGTAAATATGCAAACAAATCAGTTCACTATGCTGATAGTGATTTTTTTTCTCTTCTCCATTTGGATAATGCTTTTGGAAATAAACTAGAGAACTGCATACTCTCGCTTCCATGTGCCATAATTTTCTGTTACTCTGTAACTACTGAAGTTTGATAGAACTTTGTAGAAACAGTAATTTTGAAGTATTAAAGAGGGAGGAGGGATAGACATCCACATGGAGATACCAGAAATGATAATTTAGTGATGTATTAACTATGTTGAGATTAATAGCAATTCAGATTGTGGCATCAGCTGATTACATTCTGGTAATGTTAGCACAAATTTCGTTTCTCTACTAACCATACCTAAAAGAGAAAAAATATTCAGTGACAAGATGTTGCCAGCCATATTTTAAAACACGTGCACAACTTCTATACTGGAACAATACCTATGATGTCAGTGTTGTAGCATAATGAAAAGAAGAATGAAATTTAAGCAATGAAAGGGATCATGTTGGTGATTCAGGTGGCAGTGCTGAGGGTACAGCAGACCTCTTTAGGTTTTGGTACTACTCAGAATCCACCTGTGAACTGAAGCAAGTCCAGAAGATTTCCACAAGAAAGGTGGTAGTTATTGCAGTGTGAAGTGCTATCCTGCTTAACAGTGTTACCAGCCAGGGGACTGCACCCTGATTTTCCTAGCTCTTTAGGGGTCAGGTTATTCTTGCCTGGAAACCCTCAGTTCAATTCCTTGCTGTGAATTAACTGGCAAATCACATTTGAAAATGTGCCTCCAAAACAAAAGTTTAAAATGTATAACTTAAAGTGCTGTGCTTCTACTGACAGCAGAACAAACAGATTTTAAACTATTTTGCAGTATCTGGCTAACATTTAGGGTTTAGATTAGTGAATTATTTGTTTGACACTCCACAGAAATGGGCATCTATACCTTGATGTCAGAACAATGGCTGAAATTTCTAAGGACTCAGGTCCCATTTTTGCTGTTAATACTACACCTGTAAGAGACTGGTGACATTACAGTTCTCCAAGTTACTCCTAGCAGTGGTTTTTAGGTATCTGGCACATGCAAGGGTATTTGCTGACCTTTATTTTAGTACTTGAACTTCCTATCCAAAGAAGTCTGCTTGTATTTTGGTTTGTAAAAGCTTGTGCATGGAGCTGGAACCACCTAAACTGATTTTAAAGGAATATTGAAGACAGGTTTCTGTTACAGTGTGCCTCAGCTGAGGGCTTAGCCTTAGAGACAGATATTGTCAAGAGATACAGTTGTGGGGATAAACATTTCTCTCCTTATGGCCAACAGCCTTGAACTCACTCCTGAAGACAGGAGTAAGTGAATGAGTCTAAGCCCAAGAAAAGGCAATTTCAGATATGGAAGATGTGTGGCTTCCTACTTCTCCCCTAGGCAGTGTAACAACAGCTGGAGCACTCTCCAGATAACATGTGAACCCCTGCTTCCCTCGCCTAAGCTCACCTTAAGTGTTTCCTACTTGCTCTACTGAAGTTCTTGGAGTCTGCATTAATTGCTGAGGGCTCCACCCTGCTGCTGAAGGGCAGTTTCAGTTCTGTACATCAGACTCTTGGAGAAATTGCAAAGGCAGCCCTTGAAGCGGGGACTGCCCTGGGCTTTACCACAATAAAATATTAATGGGGGACTCAGCTCAGGCTTTTGTGTGTACCTGGGGATCTCATCCAAGGGTTGATTTTCTTCCCTTGTTCACCAGAGCTTAAGTATCAAGTTTGTTAGTAGTTATTTTGTCCTGATTCTTTTGTTTTAATGATGATGATTAATTTTTTTCCAAAAGGTGGACATTTGTGGTTTGCTAACACTATAGTTACAGAACTATCCTTCTGTAAATAGACACCAAGGCACTATGTGATAGCTCCTTCCTGGATAATAAGATCATAAAGTATATACAAAACAGCATCAAAGGAATTAAAAACCCATGAGGTTTAAACAACAGACTATTAAATACAAATCTTGCTACCCAGAGGTGTGCAAACAATTTATTTGTGTTCAGTGCAACACTGTACAGGGGAATGGATCTGCAGTTGTGTTTGTTTACGAGGCCAACAAATGGTTTGTCAGCTCTGGTGAGCATTTATTTTGTATCCAAAATCCTAATGTAAAAAATAATAACAGTTTTACTCTCTCTGTTTGAGATGGAGTCCCAGTCTGACAGGATCAGAAATACTAGTAAACAGGTGCAGATGGGAATGAAATATTCCTCTTAATTGAAATCTGTGGGCTGCATAAAAGGATTTTTTCCCAGTGCCCAAACAGTTCCTTGTGTCAGACAATCTGAAGATTTTTTTTTTTAACTAGTCCAGCTGGCATAACAGATTGCCTTGTTGAATTAGCATGTCCTAAAATAAAAAAGGATTTAAATGAATATGATGGTACAGGCAGTAGAACAAACAATTGCTAATTACTATTATAAAATATGCTAACATACTTCTCTGTTGTATAGTGAATGGATTTGAGACATAGAGAGGCCTTCATGACTTCTGGAGCTTTTTGCATTAGTTATTTTTATATGAATCTCAGTAAGAAGCAAGTCAGCATATGTGTTGCTAAATTAAAATAGAAAGCTATTAGCAAATTAACATCTTTTACACAGAACTCATACAAATACCACATTTTTCTATCTTGTGTTATTGCAAGAACAAAATTGCATAGACCATTTGCTGGCACTTTCTGAATTTTCCAAATAATGTTTTGTCTTACAAATAATTCAAGTAGTTCTCTCAATTTCATTTCACCCACTAATACAGTAAGTGTTTACATGTAGTGAGAGGAAAAACCCACGGATCTCAAAAATATGGACAATGACATAATCATCTGACTGAATAATAGTTCAGCAAGGAAACATATTTGTTTTATTTTTTTATGCTCTCTGTAAGGCTGTTTTCCAAGTGTTACTGACAAAACATGTAATTAGATTCAAGTCATTCTTCTGAAGTGGAAATGTCATTTGTGCTCTTCTTTCCCTTACACCCTGTATTCCAGAACTGTAGATGCAGATTTGTTTCGTAAATTGTAAGTACTTTGTTTTTAAAATGCTGAAAAATATGCTTTCAGTAATGCTCTTTAGGAGTAATACAAAACTCAGATGCCCAAGGGGGTGTGTGGCCTTTTGGGGTGCCTCACTGGCAGACTCGGCTGTATTCCTGGCAAGTGGAGCCCACGCCGGCCACTGACAAGTAGAGCTTTCCATCTGGACACACACAGATTTCATAGAGCCCCTGAGAAATCCCGGATCCACCCCTTGTACCCTCAGGCAGCTTGGGCAGTCGCACAGTTTCAGCATCGAGCAAAAGCTGTGTGGGAAAAAGCAGGACAAGGGGTTGTTAGAGATGGTGAAGCAATAACGTGCCATGACACAAGCTGAATTTGGCTAGGCAGAGACTTAAGAACAGCCTTTTACACAGGACTTGTTATACACAAAGTTTCTCTGAGCTCTAGGCTCTTGGCAGACATAAACACAGGACAGGAATAAGCTGGTGCCCACCCTCTTCTTATCAGAAAACTCCTGAAGTTCAGCAAGGCCAAGTGCAATGTCCTGCACCTGTGGTGGGGCAATCCCCAAAACAGATAGAACAGGGTGATAAATGGATTGAGAGAAGCCCTGAGGAGAAAGACGTGGGGGTATCATAGATGAAAACCTGTATGAGCCAGCAATGTGCGCTCACAGCCCAGAAAATCAATCACATCCTGGGCTGCAACAGGAGCAGCATGGGCAGGGGCAAGGAAGGGATTCTGCCCCTCTGCTCTGCGCTGGTGAGAGCTCACCTGCAGTGCTGCATCAGCTCTGGGGTCCCCAAAATAAGAAAGACATGGGTCTGTTGAAGTGATTTCAGAGGAGGGACATGAAGATGCTCAGAGGGATGGAGCACCAGTGGTGAGGCACAGGAACAGGTTGCCCAGAGAAATTGTGGATGATTCATCCCTGGAAGTGTTCAAGGCCAGACTGGATTGAGCTCTGAGCAGCCTGGTCTAGTTGAAGGTGTCACTGTCTCCACTTTCTCCAGAGGAAACTGCACCTGGATGATGTTTAAGGTCCCTTCCAGCACAATTCACTCTGTGATTCTAAGCTAAGTGACAGGGTCCATGCCCATGCACAGAACAGCAGGACACAAACACTGCTGCTGGACCCAGGTCTGTCCTGGCCTGAGTGCTGAGGCCTCACCACGGAGCCAGCTGGTTAAGGATGGACATGGGTCGGTCTGTAGCTCCTCCGTGGAAGAACTGGCAGAGTACAGCCTTGCAGAGGGGATAAATTTAGGCTGCTGCATGTTGCCTGCTGTTAATGATGTCTGCAGAGCTTCACTCCTTAATTTTGCCACTCTGGGGTTGTGTCTCCTTCTGAGCCAAGGGCTGGTTGGGAATCACTGTGCTAGTGGGGAGCTAAGCAGTATCCAAGTTTTATTAGAAAGCATTGCTCTAAGCAAATACAACATTATGTCTGTTGGTGGTAGTATTTACATAAATAGAAGTTTTACTATTGGCACTATTAATTTTAATATCCTGCCACCTAAAACCTGAGGAATTAAATTAAAAGAACTTGAAAAAAGCCTTGAAGTTATAGTCACACAGAAGATGAACCACAGTTATGGAAAAGAAGGGCTCGTACTCACCACGCCATCACTGCTGTGTAGTTTGATATCCATCTGGGAAAGAGCTTCAATATTCCCAGCTTGTGCTTTAATATTAATTCCCCGTGGTGCATCCATGCTCAAAGATCGAGTTGGTGATTCCAGCCTAAAAGCAGAAGCAGAAAATTGGACAGTAGAACAATCTCATATATTCCTTTATTTTAGAAAAATAAGTAAACATTGAGCAAGCCCTTGCAGGCTCTGAAGTCATATAAAAGACGCATTTTCCCTTTCCTTCAGGCAGACTTGAAAAAGGAGGCAGCTATTTTGAAAACCAACAAATCATCCCAAATGAAAAATATAGATTAATTCATAACACAAATACAAGGTATTATTTCATACACAACTGCAGCTTATTTCAGTATAACAGTAACCTAATCTATTAACTTGAAACCCAGTTTTACATTACTTAGTTTCAATTTGTTTTCACTTTTGACATAATAAGATATTGAAATAAATACAATTAATATAGTCTGGAACTTTTTTTAATCGATGAGATTTTTGACAATGCAACAGATTGCCTTGTTGAATTAGCATGTCCTAAAATAAAAAAGGATTTAAATGAATATGATGGTACAGGCAGTACAACAAGTCTTAGCTGGGCTAAGATTTCACTCTTTGTGTGTGTGTGTGTTGTTTAACTAGATGACATCTGAAACTTAAAAACTGTTAATTTGAAATAAAAATTATACAGTATAACAGAAAGTTGCAAACCTTGCAGTGCCACAAGATGGCAGGAAGGCACTGTATTTTCTAAGTAATCACTTTGTCGGATCAGCTGTGCAGGAATAACGATTTTTATTTTTCAAAGAGATAAGGCTTTGTTTCTTCAGAATTTTGGTATAATTTCCATGCAAAGTAGAAGGGATGGAAGTACTAATTAAAACTCATGAGAAGGAAAGAAAAAGCCCAATCCTAGCAACAAGCTAGTGATTATATTGCTTCTTTTGACCATTACCTAGAACTGCTTCATCTGGAGGCACTGCAGGATCAGAATTGATACCTATTAGGTTTTGATCATGAATATTCACTCACTCTTCCTGATGACACCAGCCAACACTGAACAGGTGAATATGAAGGCTAGAGAAAGTGAGACAACTGTGGTCCCTGTTTATATGTGCTGGCTTTCCTATTCTCCGGACACATACCAAAGAATGTGGGTTGTATCCACGCTACGGAACACAGACACACTTGTTCCCAAGCCGGTATGTTCTCATCCACTGTGTTTTCTAGGGAGGTTGTGCAGAGGGTTGTGTGTGTGTGCGTGCATGCACTCCCTGCAGATGTTGCGCTGGCTCCACGGGTAGTGCTCCACAGCTGCCAGTCTGGGTGAGAGGAAGCTGTGCCCAAGCAGGTCCTTCACTAGGAATGCATTGTGTAGTGAGTCCAGACTCTGCCAATCATTGGCAAGAATCAGCTGTCTAATGCATTGAGACCCAAGTCTTAATTTTATTTTTGTTTTCCTGTTACTTCATTAAAACCAGAATGTAAAAGAAGACAGTTCTTGTGAGGAAGTTCAGTAGTATTTCTGAGTTCTGAAGAAGCTAAATCCAGCTGATAACTTAAAACCTAAATCCACGATATCTAAGCACAGTCAGTGAAACTTCATTTTTTATCCTCAAATCTGAAAATAGCTCAAGCAATATTGGCTTATCACAGCTGGCCAGAGTTAGCAGAAGATTCTATCTTCTCTGATCTTGAAAGGTTCCTTCCAACCCAAAGCATTCTATGACTTTATGTTTCTATGATCTGCCTCTCCCTGACACCTCCTGGGTTCATCACCTTCAACTAGTTTAAACTCCAGACTGATAAATAAATAAAATACTGACAATGGGTAAATGCGTCATGGCCCCATACTGAGACCATATCCACAGAATAATGTGATGCCTCATTCCATGAATCTGAGCTAGCACAAACTTCTGTCATGACCATGCTGTGTACCAGATCATCAGAATGAGTTCTGAATCAGACAATCAATATAGTATTAGTAATCTTTATTAAGCAGTGTTTGGAATTTAACAACTTTTGTATGGATTTTTGCTTTAGATCTCTAAATTTGTACCTCTATGAAATAGAAAATCAGTTTTTCCCTGAGTGATTAATGTGGGAGGTCTGCTTCATGGGAATATTTTTCAGTGCACATTTGTATGCATTATATACTGAAAAATTAAAAAAAGTTTCTGTTTTCAGTCTTTAAAATTTAATGTATTTTCATAAATTAGTGTCAAAGTAGTCAAATAAAACTTTGCCGTAGTTTGTCTTAACAAAAAGCTTTAAAGTCTGAAATACCTCATGTTCTTTTGTAAAGCATTTCACCTACATAAGCAAACTATATGTAGGCATAAATTTTTATTTTTAAACTCCATTAAATATCACAAGACAGCAGTCTGGGGCAAACTTCTAAGAGTATATCAGACCTAGAGTTTAAAAAGCAATCAAACATGAGAGAAATATTTCTTACTTTCTACAAAAATTAATGCTGGCATGAAGCCTACAGACTTCGGAAGCACTTAGATTTATGATATGACATACACATAATTTAAATTACATTGCAGAATTACATTTGCTATATTAATCACAAACCTAAATTTCTGCTGTTTATACAGGTCCTATTTCTAGATTAACTCAGCCTGGATTTGCCTAATTAAGCACGTCATTGAAGCTTCCTGGCAATGCAAACTGTTGTGAATCAGTGATGTGAACTGTAATATGAGAGATTCTAGCAAAGGCAAGAGTCAATAACAATAATGATGCATTTCTTTGTACAGTATTCAAAGGTTCAGTGTCTAAAGTCCAGATGCACTCAAAGGGAAATGGGCACCTAGTGTAGGAACAGCCTGAGTTGAACCTTGGCTTTGAATGTCCCTTTGAATGTCCCCACATTGATGTGCATCTCTCAGGTGTCCTAGCAAAACAAGAATTCAGTTTGTTTGCAAATAATGGAGGGTGCTTGGAGAGGAAGAGGGAAGAAATTAATTGTCTTAAGAGTTTTTGGTCACTTTATAATGTTTGAATTTGTGCATTAGAATGATGAGGGAATATATTGTTACCAGTCACTTTCTATTTTTTTTTTTTAAACTTACAGACACATAAATTACATTTAAGAGGATGAAGTGAATGATCTTTACCATCTAGGGGAATTAATCTATGTAATGTGCTGTCCTAAATGTGACATCTGTCACAGCCTCTATTTCACTTGGGAAGATGGATTATGTACTTCTGAGTAGCTTCTAGGTACTGCGGTAGCTGCCAGGGTCAATTAGCAAGGGGTGTGGTGCAAGAGAAATTGATCTGGGCAGCACAACGTTTGATGCCAAGGACCTGACAGCCCATTATGTGTGTCCTGAGGAGAACTCTGGACTAGGTGTTGCCAACTGGATGCCCAGAAAGTTTGGAGCACACTAGGTGTTCTCCAAGAGATCACAGCTTTCAGGTTAGTTTAACACAAATGTCACCCTTTCCATGTACCCCAAACAGTTCCACAACGAAAATCAAGATGTGGAGAGCTCAGGCCATTGGGATATTTCTCTCCCAAGCATGTTTCTAATTTGAATGAAGACACTCAAGTAGACATACTCACAGATTGTAAGGCAATGCAAGCCACACCTGGGCCCACTTGCAAAATAGTTACTTTGCCTGGCTCCTCTTCACCCTCATCCCTGCAGCCTGAGAAACTGCACTATGTCAGCTTATGATAGCCAGGGAAGGGTGAGGGAATAGGTGGTCCCTGGTAATAATTTACAGCTGTCATTTGCTGGATATTGGTTCTCCATAGTCCATCGCAACTAAAGCAATTGATTGCAGCAAAGATGGTATTTCCTTGTTGGTAAGAGTTCCAGGAGTCAACTATACTTCTTGTCTGGCAGCCAAAGAAATTTGGTGCTGAGCTATGCTAAATAATTAATGGACTGTGTGAAAAAATATTCTGAGGGAACCTTGACAGCATCCAGTCTCTGTATCTGAAACCATCCCAACAACTGAAAGGCTTGGAGATTTCCCTTTTCCTATAAGCATGTTGCGAACTTGTGGAATGCCGTATCACCAGAAATTGCTCAGTTGGCTGTTAGGGAGGATGTGAGGGCAGGGACAGCCTGCAGCAGTTCTGGTAAAGAAGCAGATGACACTGCCTGTGCATGCTGCAGGAATATAGACCTCTTTTTTCATCCTGGTCTGGCAGGAGTCAGAAGGATACCTTACAAATCTGGTAAGTACCCCAAGGCACTAGCAAGCTGTTTCTAGAACTGAAGAAAGAGTATCACAAGTTTCCTACTGCACTTTGGGTTGCTTGACCCTTAGAGCAAGACAAAGGAACCAGCTTGCTCTTGGGTAATTGTTTATCCTTTCCTTCTGACCCCTTTTTGACCTTTCCAGCTCAGGAGTCATTATCTCTCCTGACTTCAATGGGAAGAGAATTCCCTGATATGACCTTAGAAGTTGCCCATCTGTATGCATTCTTCCCGGCACCTATCTAAGGAAGATCAGGATTACTGTAACTGGACTGAACAGGTCCAGGATCAACACCACCTCTAATACTGTAGTGCACCCAGCAACTGTGCATCCCTGGAAGTGTCCAGTGTCAGGTTAGACAGGGCCTTGAGCAACCTGGTCTAGTGGAAGGTGTACCTGCTCATGACAGGGGGTTGGAGCTAGATGACCTTTAAGGACCCTTGCAACCCTAACCACTCTATGATTCTATAACGAAGAGACCCTCATATACCTTTGGCATACAAAAAGAAATCCTGCCATGAACACCTGCCCCAGAATTAATTTGACTTTGTAAAGGTTAAAGTGGAACAGAAATTAAATTATGATGATTAAACAATAAATTATTATAGTAATTTTTTTATTAAAAAAAATGACTAGAGGTTATGGAGCAAAGGATGAATAGAAAAGGCAAGAAATGAAGAGGAAAAAAAAACATGAGGGAAAAAGGAAAATCTTTAACCTGTCAAGGAACTACTGTTTTGAAAGGCAAAAAAGCAACCTAGAGGATTCTGTGGGCTTAATTGGCCTTGGTCCTCTGTGGATGTCTGCTTTGATCCCTGCTTTTTGAATGCACGTTAACCTTTAAAAGGCAGTAGGAGTATATTGACTTTTTGATTAGTC